CTGAAATACAGTGGTAAGGGAGTAGCAGAGGACACAAGAGAGGTTGCTGTGCCAGGTTAGCTCTCTGCTGGGACATGAACTCAGGCTGTTGCAGTGACAGCAGCAAGACTTGACCCCTACACCGCCAAAGAGACCTTCTTCAATTCGTAATTAAATATATCACATGTTTCTCAGAGTTGTAATAGGCATGCACTGACTGACCTGAGAGGTTCTGGTTCGGGGTTTCTTCCATATTCCATGGCTGTGCCCTCTGCTCCCAGCAGAGGATCGTTAACACAATGCATATTCACATATGCATTGATTAGGACCTTCAACAAATACTCTCCATTTCTTGTGACAAAAAAAAAAGGGTTAAGAGGATTTTTCCTTAACATTCAGTATCCTTGACACAGGCACAGGTGACACTGACATTCACAGAGACAAGGAATAACAAAGATTCTCAGTTACCCCTTATTCACAAAGGGTTAGGATAACTCTATACAACAGAAAAAAAGAAATCATAAGTAAAAACAGTCATAAGTAGTTACAATTCATCCTTTGAAGATTTTGAAAATCACATTAAAGCTACTCTAAAGAGGAAAATTCAATGAGCAGAGTATAAAATAATATAAAGTCTTCACATACACGGGAGATCCAGGACAGTAGCAATCAGAGAAGGAAACACTGAGCAATATATATAACATGACCAAGGACAGAGAATGAGCAGGAAAAAAATAAAACATGAGGATTAAAAAGAAATTAAACAGATGGACAGACAGAACAGCGTGGTATGTAATTCCTTTCTCACCCACACAACCCCCTCCTCCCCCACCTGTCCTACCTGCCTAACTGTATCAAAATACAACCGATTTGGCGCATCGGTTGAGCACCGGGCTGTGAAGCTACCCACAGCATCTGTAGGGCCGGTTCAATCCCCGGACGCCAGCGAAGGTCCCACATGGCGCCCAGACCTCTCCGCCCGCTGCTCCCCTCAGCAGTGTATTTCGTCAGTCTGCCTGTTCTGTTCCCTGCTCTGGCTCTGGTGGATTCTCTCACCCTCCCGCGCTTCTGACTATACCCAGTGTTTGTATAAATAAATAAAACAAATCTTTAAAAATAAATAAATATCAAACCTAAGACAATGTGTGTTTGAAGGCCATGAAAAGGTCCCTAACTGGAGTGTTCTTAAGATCCTGAAGACTGTATTACTCCAGGTAAACCGAAGGGAGAAATACAGTATTACTTAATGGAAGTAACTAAGTATTGTCAATTGTCAGTTCTGCGGAGATTTTATCCAGGGCCAACCAAGGGAAGGCCCCTAGACAGGAGAGGCAAGACAATTTCCACATGTGAAGTCATGTGAAGAATTTGTATTTTCTTGTGATCATGCAGAGTGTTATAACTGAGTATAGCAGGAACCTCTAAAAGAGGGTCTAGTGTCACTTCAGTCCCCAGAGATACTTTAGGTACAAAAAATGGATGGCAAAGCACCAATACCATGAAGTGTTTTGCAAAATTCTTCAAAATACTGTGGTGTTATTTTAAAAACACTCAACAATATCCGGGGCTACTAACAGAACAAAAAGTGTGTAGTTGTTGAAAATGCAGTCAAAACAATTTCAGATATAAGGTATCGAGAACAGAGCCTGCTAGTGATTTCGTAACACTGTGTAGACAACCACCTGATTGTTCTCATCAGTGACCGAAAGCCTTAACATGGAGGAATTGGTTCATGCTGATGGGCAACAACTTATGATCAAGTACACATCAGGATGACATGAAAAATCAATCAGCAGGGCCTCCCCTGTGCCCAGTGCATGTATAAACAAACAAACAAATAAATAAATAAATAAAACATGCCTCTATTAAAAAAAATCAATCAGCATTATTAAAATACATAAAGTTCACATATAGTCTAAACAAGACATTCAGAGAGCTCTGTATGCTGTTTTGTAAAAGTCAGGATTCAGGCATGTAAGAAGCATCTGGACCTTCTGCTATCAGAATCCCAGAGTTTGTGTTCAACACAGAGCCTGTTCACTTAGCTAATGTGAATGGACGAGAATTCCATGCCCTTTTGTGAAAGTCACCTGCTCTTTCATCACGTGCCTGTGAAGATTTCTTTTGGCAACAACATCAAATAATATTCATGATCTCTATTACGACCATGAAGAGACATCAGGACTTTAAGAAACTGTCAGTATATTCCCTAAGGACAAAAGGATGAAATGATTTGAACTTCAGCATGCTTCTTGTTGCATGAGGATGATCGAGAGGTGACCTGAGGACAGCAAGGGAGAGGGCTGACCAAAACATTTGCGAAAACTCACATACACCAGCACGGAAAACTGCTCAGGAGGGACACACCAAACTTGCTTTATCCTTGGAAGTCTCCTCAGTTGTGACCTAGTAATAGAGGTCCACTGGGGCGGACATGTCCACAAGGCCTCACATATGTGGCATATATGAGCTCACGTACACGGCGTGCGAGGCAAGGTTGTTTTGGCTTTCTCTGACTTGTGAGAAAATGCAGATGTCTTTGTTCATAATTCCTGTATAGCCATGCTGAGAAAGGTAAAGAATCATTGCTTCTGGCTCACAGCAGTCTCCTGTCTGTGTGTCCTTCGCGATCAGTGTCCCAGGTCTCTGAACCCACTGGAGGCTCACATTTCTATCTGACTTCTATGCCAGCAATGAAGCCCATGACTCTTCTGGGTGATTTAGATCGATCTTTTGAGTCAACCACAAACAGCATATCCATTCAGATTTTCTTCATACATAATATATGACGCCATCTTAAATTTGCCAGAGCAAGTTAGATGTGAGCAAATCCATCCATTAGAGGAGGGTCCCTTAGATGTTTGAGGTAGCAACAATCAACACGACGTTACGTATGTATGAGGAGAAAGCCATGACGTACGTAGAAGAAGTAATTTAGGGCTGAATTACATTCATCTATTCATATCTGAAGCATGGCTAATAAGAAAGGACATAGAAAATAACTATACATGACCCAAACCATTGTCTTCAATTTTTATTTATGTTGTTTAAAGATGTATTTATTTATGCATACAAGAACTGGGGTATAGGCCAGAGGTGGGGGGGGTGAGAGGATTCACCAGAGACAGAGTGGGGAGGAGAATAGGTGGATATACAAAAATACACTGCTGAGGGAGCAGCAGGCAAGACAGGAGAGGTCTACTGCTCCATGTGGGTCAGCTCCCTGGATGGGGATGGAACTTGTGCTGCAGTGGCTTCACAATGCTGCAACTTAACCCCTTGTGCCACCAGGGAGGCCTCTTGAACTTTTAAATTACACTAATATTTAGTGTTTTAATCTTGGTTTATGCTCCATAACCATATTCTCATTTTAGGTAATGTCTGGCAAGTGTAATTAACTTCCTACTGCACTGCAATGTCTCAATATGTATCTAATTTTCATTATAAATTACTTTCTCCTATTTAAGCTTCTTTTAAGTTTCCAGTATGAAAATCTGGTGGTTTCCACACATATATTTGGACAATCCATTCCTCACTTTCCATTTATGGGTTTCTCTCAGTAGGCACTCTCAGATGCTTAGGATGATTTGACTTCTGGATAATCACTTTGCCACTTCTGGTTAAACTTCTGGACTTCTGGACTTCTGGCTAAAAAGACTAAAGTCAAAAAATTTACTTCACAATTTTAACCTTTCTCTCTGATGTGAATTCTGTGATGTAGAGTAAGACCTGACTTCTGGGTAAAGGCTTTGCCACATTCTTCACATTTGTAAAGTTTCTTCCCAGAATGAATCTATGATGTTGACTAAGATGTGATGGCTGGTTAAAGGTTTTCCCACATTCTTCACATTTATAAGGTTTCTCCCCAGTATGAATTTTATTATATTGAGTAAGTTTTGAATCATTATTAAAGGCTTTGCCACATTTGTTACATTTATAAGACTTTTCCCTAGTATGAATTTTGTAATGGTCAGAAACACTTGACATTGAGGTAAAGGCTTTGCCACATTCTTCACATTTGTAAGGTTTCTCTCGAGTATGAATTCTGTGATGTCAAGTAAGATGTGATTTCTTGTTAAAGGCTTTGCCACACACTTCACATTGGTAAGCTTTCTGGCCAGTATGAATTCTCTGATGCTAAGACATATTTCAGCTTAAAGGCTTTCTTACATTCTTCACATTTGTAAGGTTTCTGCCCAGTATGAATTCCATGATGTTGAATAAGTTTTGAATTACTATTATTATTTTTTAAAGATTTATTTACTTATTCAAGAACTGGGGTACTACAGGACAGATTCGCGGGAGGAAAGTAACTAAGTAACTCAGTAACTTAGTACCTAGACTAAGTAACTTAGTCTCCGGATTCACCAGAGACAGAGCGGGAACAGAACAGGCAGACTGATGAAATACACTGCTGAGGGGAGCAACGGGTGTGACAGGAGAGGTCTGCACACCACGTGGGACCCTTGCTGGCCGTGTGGGACTGAACCGGCATTGCAGAGGCTGCGGACAGCTTCACAGCGCAGCACTGAGCCCAATGCACTGCTGGGGAGGCCCAAATAACTAAATCTTTATAAAAAAAAAATGGACAGGGCCTTCCCAGCGGTGCAGCGGGTTGAGCACAGCCCTATGAAGCTGTCTGCAGCCTCTGCAGTGCCAGTTCGATCCCAGCTGGCCCGGGAGATTCCCACATGGCGCAGCAGACTCTCCTGTCTTGCCCGCTGCTCCCCTCAGCAGTGTCTTCAGTCCGTCTGCCTGTTCTGCTCCCCACTCTGTCTCTGGTGAATTCTCTCACCCTCTTGTGCCTCTGGCCTGTACCCTAGTTTTTGTATAAAAATATATAAATCTTTAAAAAAAATTTAAAAAATGGGCCTCCCTGGTGGCGCAGTGGTTGAGCGCTGGGTTGCAAAGCTGGCTGCAGCCTCTGCAGCACTGGTTCGATCCCCAACTGCTCCCCGGCCACCGGAGGAGGGTCACACATGGCGCGCAGAACTCTCCTGCCGCCCGCTGCTCCCCTCAGCAGTGTACTTCGGTCCTTCTGCCTGCTCTGCTCCCTGCTCTGGCTCTGGTGAACTCTCTCACCCTCCAGTGTTTCTGACTGTACCCAGTACTTGTATAAATAAATAAATAAATCTTTTAAAAAATATATACAAATCATAAATCCAACAACACCAAAAAAAAAATTAAAAAATGGACAAAGGAAGTACATAAACTCTTCTCTAGAGAGGAAATTCTAATGTCCTACAGAAACAGGAATGTTCATCTTAACTTACTGTAAGAGAAATGTAAATTAAAACAACACTGAGATGCCACCTCACTCCTTGAGAATGGCCCAAATAAAAAAGAAGAATGGAATTCAGAACGGTGGAGAGGATACAGAGAATAAGGAGCTCTCATCCACGGTTGGTGTCCATGAGAGTTGGTATAGTCTCTGTGGATAATGGTGCAGAGGTTTAACGAAATAAAAATGGAAATTCCACATGATCAGCAATACTTCTATAAGTTATATATTGAAAAGTGAAATCTCAAATACAAAAAAAAGATTTATCTACATCCATGAGCAGAGCAGCTCTGTTCCCAACTGCCCATTCATGGCCCAACCTACATCCCGTCAGCAGAGGCAGGGGCAGGAAGGGTGGAGCACACGCAGGGGAGCACTGCAGGGCTGTGAGGAAAGAGCAAGTGGTGCACCGAGGACAAAATGGATGTACCAGGCCGTTGATTACCTGGAGTGAAATAAGTCAAAAAGTAAAGACACATGTATCAGATGGCTTCACTCATCTGTGGAATATAAAAACCCAAAATACATTTACAGGCAAAATACAGCAGGAATACAACTTGAATGAGGGAAAAAGAAGACAAAGGTTACCACCAGTGGGAAGGAGGAAAGGGTGGAGAAGAAAGGGAGGGGGCAGAGGGGGATGGGCCAGGGTGATTTAGTACAGGGGTAAAAAGGGTAGGGCAAAACCTATTAGGAATGTAAGAGAAAACTGACCACTATTTCAGCAGAAGGCTTTCAGTGTCACACATGTCAAGACAGACTGAGGAAGCCAAAAATAAGTAAAAGAAGTAAACATGCAGGGCCTCCCTGGTGGCGCAGGCGGTTGAGCGCTGCACTGTAAAGCTGTCCGCAGCCTCTGCTGCGCAGGTTCGATCCTGGCAGGCCAGGGAGAATCCCACAAGCACGGCAGACCTCTCCTGTGTCGCCCACTGCTCCCCTCAGCAGTGTATTTCATCAGTCTGCCTGTTCTGTTCCCCACTCTGTCTCTGGTGAATCCTCTCACCCTCCCGCACATCTGGCCTGTACCCCGGTTATTGTATGAATAAATAAATCTTAAAAAAAAAAAAAGAAGTAAACATGCAAACAAGTATAGGAAGTTTTTTTTGAAATATTTATTTATTTATGCACACAAGAACTGGGGTACAGGCCAGAAGTGTCTGGGGGGGCAGCGAGAGGATTCACCAGAGACAGAGCAGGGAACAGAACAGGCAGACAGAGCAGGGAACAGAACAGGCAGACAGACCGAAAACACTGTTGAGGGGAGCAGCGGGTGAGCCAGGAGAGGTCTGCTGTGCCATGTGGGTTGCTCCCTGGCTGGGGATCGAACCCGTGCTTGCACTGACTGCAGATGGCTTCATAGGCTGTGTCTCAACTCCTTGCACCAACAGGGAGGCCCAAGATTTTAAACAATTAAAAAGTAACCAAAATTGGGCCTCCCCGGTGGCACAGCGGTTGAGCGCTGGGTTGCGAAGCTGCCCGCAGCCTCTGCAGCGCCAGTTTGATCCCTGGCTGCTCCGTGGCCACGGGAGGAGGGTCCCACCAGGTGCGCAGACCTCTCCTGCCGCCCGCTGCTCCCCTCAGCAGTGTACTTTGGTCCTTCTGCCTGCTCTGCTCCCCGCTCTGACTCTGGTGAATTCTCTCACCCTCCCGCGCTTCTGACTGTACCCAATGCTTGTATGAATAAATAAACAAATAAATAAATAAAATAAAATAAATCTTTAAAAAAAAAAAGTAACCAAAATTTCCCCAAGGTCATACATGATATTGTCAAATATGGCAGGAAATTTGGGGAGAAAAAGGCTACAGAAGTGGAAGTGGACTTATTGTAGGATGTAATGAGCGTCACTAGAAGTGCATTCAGACCACACCAAGGAGAAATGCTCAGGAGCAGTGGAAACAATGGCCAGAAAAAAGGACCCTGAACAGCCGACTGGGCACCTGGGGTTTACAGACCACCTGAGAGAAAGGCAGGGGCAGGTATGTAAGGACGCCCCATTGGACTCAATGTCACATGTGCCAAGACTGACGCCTGCTTGAAAGTCTCCGAGAGTGGCCTGGGACACAGTATAGGTTTTAGCAACTGCACAGAAACCTTAAAAATTCAGTTGTCCTTTTCAAATGACACGTGGCTCCTTCACCCCCATCTGCACTCGGGTCCTCAGGCCCCTCCTCATCCTCCCTCGCCCCGCACCTGACCAGCGCAGAGCTGGGAAGTGTTTCTGTCCAGCGGGGTGAAGAGCCACAGCCCACACTATCATCGATGTCAACCAGAGTTTGATGCATGAGCATCACAGCAGAGCCCAATCTCCACGCATGCTGGACATGTGATTTCGTGGATCTAGACCGTTATCCTGTGATGTTGGTTCCCTCAAGAAAGCTATGCTTCTAATTTACACTTCAGGTCATGAACTCCCATGAAGTGCACCACAAGCTAATGCAAATACATCACTCACCAGAGATGGAGTCACTGCCTGCTGCTCTCTCACATGCGCGAGGACTCTGGAGGCGGCGCTGGGAGAGGGGATGGAGTCCAGCAGAGAGGACGGAGGCAGCTGCACGGGGCCCCGGAGTGTCCTGCCCAGAGCACCCCACACTGCTTGGGAGCCCAGAGAGTCACTGCGCTGACAGCTGTGCTCACACTTCCATGGGATGGGGTTCCTCCCTCCCTCCCCCACACTCCGCCCCCGCCCGACCTACCTGCCTCCTGCATCGAAACACAAGTGATGATCCAAGAAATTCAAAGTTCAGAAACTTAAACGTTTCCGAAGATGGTTAGTCACCTGCAAAACCGCTGACCACAGTTTCATGGGAAAGGTGCCCCTGATGGACTGTTTTGCGAGGATGCTCCCAGAAATGGTTCGGTGCGCCCCGCTTCCCGCATCGGTTCCCCGCATCGGTTTCCGTGGACACCCCCTGACAAGGCGTGGACCTGCCCTGGGCGAGGCCCGGAGGCAGTCAGAGTGCTCGGGAGAACACGCGGTCCCCCGGGAAAGACACAGCCCGGCGCACCGGGGAATCCCCCAGTAAGGCTGGGACGTTCTCAGCCAGCCTCAGCCAGGCGGAGGGTCCCCTCGGCCTCCACCCCCCAGTCACACCGCGCACACCCGGGAATCGGCTGCAATGCAGACGCCCCCCCAAACCCCGGGAACGGCCGCGGGGCGCCCGTCAGGACCCGACGTCCCGCCCCGCGCGTCTGAAAGGCGGGGACGCGGGAAGCTTCCTCACCCACGACGCGCGCCGCCGGCGTCACGCCCAGAACTCCGGGGAGCGCGAAGGGGTCCGGTGAGGGGCTCCCCGTGTCCATAGCGGGGTCCCCAAGACCCCCTCACCCGCGCCCCCCCGCGCCGTCCAGGGGCCCGGACTCCCCCCATGCCCGCCCTCAGGCCTCACCCGACGCTTCTCCATCCGCTCCCCACCCCACGTGCCCCAGACCCCCACTGCCCACACCACGCGGCCGGGCGCCCCTGCTCCCTACTGCACACGCCCGGGACGCCCCCCGCTCCCCACCCCGCGCACCCGGGCCCTCCCCCCCGCTGCCCACACCACGCGGCCGGGCCCCTCACTCCACACCCCGCACGCCCGGGCCCCCGCTCCCCACCCAGCAGGCCCAGGCCCCCGCCCTCGCCCTCGCCCCGCGCGCTGCCTCATCTCCCCACGAGCCCGGCCCCCGAGACACGCCCGCGCACAACTGTGACGCAGCGGCGCGTGGAGGCCCCATACGTCCCGCCTTGGGGCGGGGCCGCGCCTGCGCAGAACCCGGAGGCCCCGCCCAGAGCCTTTTCCTGGACCCACGTGGGCTCGAGACTACATTTCCCACAATCCCGTGCGCCGCCCGTCGCGGGCGTCTGTGTGCTGGGTTTGCAGCCTGGAGGTGGCATGAGCAGAGGTTGAGTTACAATGGACGGGTAGACGGGCCCCTGAAAACTGCGGGGTGAGAACTGGGTGCGGGCTGCAATGAAAAAGAGCTGAACAGGGTCTCCCGGGGGTGAAGGGGTTAAGGCTCAGCGCTGTCACCCTCTCACCAGCCACTGAGGTCTGACAGCCCTCTCCGGCCAGCTGGCCAGGGAGCTGACGACAGGGCGCAGCTGACCTCTCCTGTCTCCCCGCCGCGCCCCTCAGCACTGGATGTCAGTACATCTGCTCCCCACCCTGTCTCTGATGAATCTTCTCAAAACGCCTCCCCCCCCAACCTTGGGCCTAGACTCCCGTTCTTGCATGCAGAAATAAAAATAAATCTTCCTTAAATAGGGACCTTGTGGAATCCTATAATCGGATTCCAAATGGGGTTCTTCACCACTCCACTCCTTCCTAGTTCAGAGCTGCAGCCTCAGGCAGGTACGACTCCGTGGCCAACCATCTATTTCAAGCTCTTTGTAAGACATTTCCATGTTTAGTCTTTGCCTGCCAGGTGGGCAGCAGAAGGTATTCTAACACCCCATTCATCCCTGCATCACCTTGCTCCCCAAAATCTGCTGGGCTGCCAGGGCTGAGCCAAAGTCCCTTCATACAATTTCTTTTATTTCTTTATTTACTTATTTATTTATACAAGCACTGGGTACAGGATTCACCAGAGCCAGAGCGTGGAACAGAACAGGCACTGCCGAAGTACACTGCTGAGGGAAGCAGCGGGCGAGACAAGAGAGGTCTGCCTCACCATGTGGGACCGTCGCCCGGGGGCCGGGGATGGAACCGGCGCTGCAGAGGCTGCGGGCAGCTTCGCAACCCAGCGCTCAACCGCTGCGCCACCGGGGAGGCCCCATACAATTTCTTAAAAGGTCTTAGTGAGAGCTGCTCACAGTCGCCTGATTTTCGCGAAATGGAATGGAGGACGCCTCCATCCCGCCAGACACCGCGTACAAACAGTCCCGCTTTAGAAGGATTCGCCTCTTCTAAAAATAGGCAACTGCTGCCCACGCCAGAACTTCAGGACATGCTTCCCTACGCACATCCTGCTCTCCCATTGCACACAACATGAACAAGCACGCACTTCCTTTCCAATCACTGTCATTCCTGAGTAATGTCTCAATTAATGTACGTGTTGGATTCAAAATACATCCAAACCGTGACCATGTGTGTGTTTGTAGGCCATGAAAAGGTCCCTAACTGCAGTGTTACAAAGGTCCTGAAGACTGTATTACTCCAGGTAAACTCAAAGGAGAAATATATTAGGTATAACTTAATGAATGTAACTAAGTATTGTTTATTGTCAGCTCTGTGGAGATTTTACCCACAGAGATAGGGAGGCATGCCAATGTCTGCATGTGAAGTCATGTGAAGAATTTATATTTCCTTGTGATCCTGAAGGGTGTCATGGAGAGTATAGCAGGAACCTCTAAAAGGGGGTCTAGTGTCACTTCAGTCCCCATAGTTTACGTACACAAATGGATGGCAAAGCACCAATATCATGGAGTGTCAGGCAAAATTCTTAAAAATAATCCTACATTATATTCTATACACTCATGACAATGTCCAGGGTTACTAACGGAACAAAAAGAATGTGTAGTTGTTGCAAAATTCATCAAAACTATTTGAGATGTAAGGTATCTGAGAACAGAGCCTGCCAGTGATAAATGACACTGTGTAGACAACCCGCCTGCTGTTCCCCTCTGTTACCTACAGTTTTGAAATGGAGGGAGAGGCTAATACTGAGGATCAACAACTATTATCAAGTACGCATCAGGATGACCACATTAAAAAGGAAATCAGCTTTATTAAAATATACGGTAAGCTCACATATAGTCCAAATAAGACATTCAGAAACCACTGTGTGCTCTTTTGTCAAAATCAAGATTTTGGCATTTAAGAAGCATCTTGTCCGATACCGGGAACCCAGAGTCACTCTGTTCAACACAGAGACGCTTGACTCAGCTAATGTGAATGGGCAAGAATTCTACGCCCTGTTATGAAAACTCACCTGCACTTTCATCATGTGCCAGTGAAGATTTCTTCTGGCAACAGCATCAAGTAATATTCATGATCTCGATTACTACCGTGAAGAAACATGAGCGTTTTAATAAACTGTCAGTGTATTCCCTGAAGGAGAAAATGATGAAATGCTTTGAACTTCAGCATGTTTCTGTCTGACTTTCATGCCCACAATGAAGTCCACAACTCCTCTGGGTGATTCAGATCAATCTTTTGAGTCAACCACAGACAGCATATCCATTTAGATTTTTCTTCATACATGTTACGTGACACCATTGTGAATTTGCCCGAGCAACTAAGATGTGAACAAATTCATCAACTAGGAGGGTCTCTTAGATGTATGAAGCAGCAATTTTCAAACACATGACTTGACTTACATATGAGGAGAAAGCCATACAATGACATGCTTTAGGGCTGAATTACATTCATCAGGTCTCTTCATAATGTCAAGAACGGTTAGTAAAAAAAAGACACAGAAAATGACTATGCGTGTTCTCAAACAATCATCTTGAACTTTGATATTTTTTTTAACATTGATTTTATTTATGCATACAAGAGATGGGGGTGTAGGCCAGAGGCGTGGGGGTGAGAGAATTCACCAGAGACAGAGTGGGGAGCAGAACAGATGGGTATACTGAAATACACTGCTGAGGGGAGCAGCAAAGTCAGCACAGGTCTGCTGTTCCATGTGGTCAGCTCCCTGGCTGGGGAATTCGTGCTGCAGTGGCTACAGATAGCTTCATAGTGCTGTGTCTTAACCCTCTGCACTGCCAGGAAGGCCTCTTGAGCTATTCAATTATGCTAATGTTTAGTGTTTTAATGTTGGTTTAGCCTCCATAACAATCTTCTCATTAAGGAATGTCTGATAAGTGTTACTCACTTCCGACTGTACTGCAACGTCTTAATATGAATCCAAATTTTGTAATAAATTACTTTCTCATATTTCACTTCTTTCAAGTTTCCAGCATGAAAATCTGGTGGTTTCAGAATTTGTATTTGGACAAACCATTCATCACTTTTCATTAATGGGTTTCTCTCAGTTCACACTCTGATATTTAGGATGATTTGACTTCTGGTTAAAAAAGACTAAAGTCAAAAAATTGACTTCACAGTTTTAACATTTCTCTCTGATGTGAATTCTCTGATGTAGAGTAACATTCGACTTCCGATTAAAGGCTTTGCCACAGTCTTCACATTTGTAAGGTTTCTCCCCAGTATGAATTCTGTGATGTTGACTAAGATGTGACTGCTGGTTAAAGGCTATGCCACATTCTTCACATCTGTAAGGTTTCTCCCCAGTATGAATTCTATGATGTCGAGCAAGACCTGACTTACTGTTAAAGGCTTTACCACATACTTTACATTTGCAAGCCTTTCCCCCTGTATGAATTCTGTAATGGCCACAAAGATCTGACAGGTAGTTAAAGGCTTTGCCACAGTCTTCACATCTGTAAGGTTTTTCCCCAGAATGAATTCTGTGATGTTGACTAAGATGTGACTGCCGGTTAAAAGCTCTGCCACATTCTTCACATCTGTAAGGTTTTTCCCCAGTATGAATTCTGTGATGTTGACTAAGATTTGACTGCTGGTTAAAGGCTCTGCCACATTCTTCACATCTGTAAGTTTTCTCCCCAGTATGAATTCTATGATGTCGAGCAAGATCTGACTTATTGTTAAAGGCTTTGCCACATTCCTCGCATCTGTAAGGTTTCTCCCCAGTATGAATTCTATGATGTCGAGCAAGATCTGACTTACTGTTAAAGGCTTTGCCACATACTTTACATTTGCAAGGCTTTTCCCCAGTATGAATTCTGTGATGTTGACTAAGATGTGACTGCTGGTTAAAGGCTATGCCACATTCTTCACATCTGTAAGGTTTCTCCCCAGTATGAATTCTATGATGTCGAGCAAGACCTGACTTACTGTTAAAGGCTTTACCACATACTTTACATTTGCAAGCCTTTCCCCCTGTATGAATTCTGTAATGGCCACAAAGATCTGACAGGTAGTTAAAGGCTTTGCCACAGTCTTCACATCTGTAAGGTTTTTCCCCAGAATGAATTCTGTGATGTTGACTAAGATGTGACTGCCGGTTAAAAGCTCTGCCACATTCTTCACATCTGTAAGGTTTTTCCCCAGTATGAATTCTGTGATGTTGACTAAGATTTGACTGCTGGTTAAAGGCTCTGCCACATTCTTCACATCTGTAAGTTTTCTCCCCAGTATGAATTCTATGATGTCGAGCAAGATCTGACTTATTATTAAAGGCTTTGCCACATTCCTCGCATCTGTAAGGTTTCTCCCCAGTATGAATTCTATGATGTCGAGCAAGACCTGACTTACTGTTAAAGGCTTTACCACATACTTTACATTTGCAAGCCTTTTCCCCTGTATGAATTCTATAATGGCCACAAAGATCTGACAGGTAGTTAAAGGCTTTGCCACAGTCTTCACATCTGTATGGTTTTTCCCCAGTATGAATTCTATGATGTCGAGCAAGATCTGACTTATTGTTAAAGGCTTTGCCACATTCCTCGCATCTGTAAGGTTTTTCCCCAGAATGAATTCTGTGATGTTGACTAAGATGTGACTGCCGGTTAAAAGCTCTGCCACATTCTTCACATCTGTAAGGTTTTTCCCCAGTATGAATTCTGTGATGTTGACTAAGATTTGACTGCTGGTTAAAGGCTCTGCCACATTCTTCACATCTGTAAGTTTTCTCCCCAGTATGAATTCTATGATGTCGAGCAAGATCTGACTTATTGTTAAAGGCTTTGCCACATTCCTCGCATCTGTAAGGTTTCTCCCCAGTATGAATTCTATGATGTCGAGCAAGATCTGACTTACTGTTAAAGGCTTTGCCACATACTTTACATTTGCAAGGCTTTTCCCCAGTATGAATTCTGTGATGTTGACTAAGATGTGACTGCTGGTTAAAGGCTATGCCACATTCCTCACATCTGTAAGGTTTCTCCCCAGTATGAACTCTCTGATGCTGGGAAAGGTGACACAAGCCTAGAAAGACTTTACCACCATCTGGACACGTGTAAAGCTTTTCTCCAGCATGAATCCTTAGATGGTTAGTCAGCTGTGGATGCCAATACAAGGCTTTACCATGCTCTTCACACTTGGAAGGTTTCTCTCTCTGATGTTCAGTAAGTCTTGGGCACCATTTGGTAGCTTTGCCATATCCTTTACAATTGTAGGGTTTCTCATGAACTGTGTGATGCTGGAGAAGTTCTGAGGACTCCTCAATGTGACCCTGTGTAGATTTTTTATTTTCCTTTCTAATTCTCTGATGTTGAGAATGACTTGACTGAAAGTTTAAATTTATCCCACATTGACAATGTTTTGAATAATCATTTGCATTATGCACTAGGGGACTTCCCATATGTTCCAATATTCCTCTCTGAAATTGTGTCTTGTTAAAAATGTCACATGGATCTTTGCTAACAGAAACATATTTATCTATACATGCAACAGACGTAAAATGGTGTTTTACCCAATATGGTTTACATGCTGGATCACCTTTTGCAGGAGGAATTTGATTGTGGATAATTCTCCCTTCTTGGCAATCTTCATCGCAACAGCTCTTGTGTTCTTCACATGCCTCTTGACATGTCTGGTTTCGCAATAATTCTAAATTCTCGAAAGCGTCGATTCCATCTCCTCCCAGTCCCACATTTAGGAACAAATCTTCTGTGCCTGACTGTGGCATGGAGACCTGGTCGTCTTGAGAAGACAGGGCTGGGAGACAGCAAGGAAGAATTACCCCACTCACAGCACTCAAGATGAAATAATTTAAATATTTAATACATAAAATTGATACCAAATAAAGCTCACCAGCCTGATGTTAGAATAAGTAACATCAGCACTAGACAGCAACACACACCTTATGAATCAGTAATGTCTTTAGGGGAAGGTGAATACATACCAAATACAGAAAACTGCATGATATACATCCCAACAACAAAAATAGTGTTTCTGCTTAAGAATTTGAAAATATGGAAACAAACAAAAAAAAATCACAGAACTGTGTGGTAGAATACAAATATAATGAGACATAATTTGTGATGTTAGTAGGGGTAGAAATGTTCAACAGTTGAGTTTTGGTATGCAGCTGAATTTACATGTTTTTCACTTGTCCTAACTTTTCTTTTTTAAAGATTTATTTTTATTTATACAAGAGCCAGGGTACAGGCCAAAGACAGAGCGGACTGATGAAATACACTGCTGAGGGGAGCAGCAGGCAAGACAGGAGAGGTCTGCTTGCCATGTGGGTTGCTCCAAGGGCAGCGGGGATCGAACCAGCACTGCAGAGGCTGTGGACAGCTGCACAGCACTGCGCTCAACCACCTGCGCCACCAGGGAGGCCCGGCTGTCATAACTTCTCAACATGCTATGTAATCCCCACTATGACAAAAAAGATATCGTAAAATACATGGAAAAGGAAATGAAAACAGAGAATGATGTGATGTGTGCACAGGCTGGATGACAATGCTTTACAAGGTGAGTAAATAATATTACAAACAAATATACTGCAACCAACATCAAAATGTGAGAAATAGGAAGGAAATCACTAACAAGAAAGGAGAGAGGAATAAAAGCATGTCACAAAAAGTCAAAAAAAGGACCTCCCCTGGTGGCGTAGCAGTTGAGCGCTGGATTGAGAAGCTGCCTGCAGTCTCTGCAGCGCCGTTTCAATCCCTGGTTGCCGGGGAGGGTCCCACATGGCGCGCAGACCTCTCCTGCCACGCCCTCTGATCCCCTTAGCAGTGTATTTCGTCGGTCTGCCTGTTCTGTTCCCAGCTCTGGCTCTGGTGAATTTTCTCACCCTCCCGCACTTCTGACTGTACCCAGTGCTTGTATAAATAAATAATTTTTTAAAAAGTCAAAAAATATACAGAGGGCCTCCCTGGTGATGCAAGGGGTTAAGCACTGCGCTGTGAAGCAACACAAAGCCTCTGTAGCAGGAGTTTGATCCCTGGTCCACCAGGGAGCAACACACATGGCGCAGCAGACTTCTACTGTCTCACACACTGCTCCCCTCTGCAGTGTACTTCAGTCGATCTGCCTGTTCTGTTCCCCACTCTGTCTCTGGTGAATCCTCTCACCCCCCGCATTTCTGGCCTGTGCCCCAGTTCTTGTATAAATAAATAAATAAATCTTGCATAAATAAATCTTTACAGGGGCCTCTGGCCTGTACCCCAGCTCTTATATGCATAAATAAATCTCTAAAAAAAATTTTAAAATATACACAGAAATACAACAGTGAGGGAAGGATGTAGAAAATGGCTGAGAATACAGGACTCATTCTTTAGTAAAGTTAAGGCATCCCTTTCAGTAATAATTTGTGTGTAAATAAATAAAAGGTCCACATTACAATGGCATATGTGTCTGAATGAAATAAAAATAAGACCAATTAAATCCCATCTATGACACTTAACATAGACTTCAGTGCACTATGTGGAATGTTAAGTATGGAACTAGATTCTCTGAAAACTGATCATGAAAATGGAGTCGTGTTGATCACACTAATATCAGAATAATATTGATCTTAGTCTACCGCATCACAGAATGAAAAGAATGCCCCAAGAACGTTAACAGAAAACTACATGTATTGGGAAGCACTGTAATATAACATATGCACTAACATGACATGAGACCCTGAATGTGTATAGCACACAAAGACAGAACTGAATGCAGAAGAGGAAAACATGAAATCAAGGAGAGGTTCAAGCCCCAATTGTGACTGGAAGGAAAACAATGATATAAATGCAGGGACTTGACTTGGCCAACAGGGGTGAAAAATAATTCTAAAAGGAAGATGTGGTATATAGACAATATGGAATACTACTGAGCCATTACAAAGGATACATCTGACCATTTGCAACAAGAAGGATGGAATGTTGGGGGAGGATGATGCTCAGTGAAATGAATCAGAAGGAGAAAGACTTACTGGATGAATTCACTCCTATTTGGAATCTGGAGAAAGAAAGCCAAGAAACTGACAATATAAACCAAAATCAGGGCCTCCCCTGGTGGCGCAGGCGGCTGAGCGCAGCACTATGAAGCTGCCTGCAGCCTCTGCAGTGCCGGTTCAATCCTGGCCGGCCAGGGAGATACCCACATGGTGAGGCAGACCTCCCTGTCGCACCCGCTGTTCCCCTCAGCAGTGTATTTCGTCAGTCTGCCTGTTCTGCTTCCCGCTCTGTCTCTGGTGAATTCTCTCACCCTCCCAAACATCTTGCCTGTACCCTGGCTCTTGTATAAGGAAATAAATAAATCTTTTAAAAAAATCTATTGAAAAACAAACAAAATCAACTTTAGAAACAGGACAGCAGAATTGAGGGCACTAAAGAGTGGGGGAGAGTGGGTGTGAATATGAAAGTGGGAAGGGTTCAAAGATCTATGGAGAAGCCCACAATGCACTGGTGGTGCGTGTGGTGGTGACAGACATCTGAAGAGATGAGATTCTACTCCCTAAATCACATACAGCAAGGTAAAACAATGTTTCCTTGATTCCAAAAAACTAAGAAATACTGTGAAAACACTGAAATGAAGCAAAGTCCCCCCAAAACATGTGGGATTCAGAAAATAGTAAGGTGTAAATTAAAGCATAAACAATTACACTAGAGTCCAAGCCCAGAGGGGGAGCGGGCATCCACAGCCAGGACGGAACGCGTGGGAGCAGGAAAGTGCGTCTCCGACTAGCCATTTTAGAACAGGGACCTCCCTTCAATAAAGACTGTTTGAAACTGGGAGAAAACACCCTACGCAGCCAGAGGTGAGCTGGGAAGAACCCCCATGCAGGGCCCCTTCTGGCCAGCAGTCCAAGCCCAGAGGGGGAGCGGGCATCCACGGCTAGGGCAGAATGTGCGTGGGCAGGAAAGTACGTCACCAACTCGCCATTTTAGAATAGGGACCATCCTTCAATAAAGACTGCTTGAAACTGGGAGAAGCTCCCTGCGCAGCCAGAAGTGAGCTGAAGGCCCCCACAAGCCTGGTCCTGCCTGGCAGGGAGTTGGAGCCCAGAGGGGGATTCAGCGATTTGGAGCCCAGAGGGCAATCCAGCCACCGCACCTCCTGGGAAGTCTGTGGGACTTCAGGACACACCTTTGGAATTAAACAAATGCAGAAGGAGGAGATATTCTGTGACAGCGACCATTAACACACTCAAAGCACCACTGCCTCACTGGACTTCTGGCATAACGGTATTTGACTCAATTGGACTGCCAGTTTCGGAAATCCCAGAAAGAGCACACCAAAAAGATGCCAGCCAATACCAGCGACACAGTGTCCCAACACATAGTGCTAATTAGAAAACAGGCAGCAGGGAGAAGAAAAACTACATGCAACCTAGCAACTCCTCAGGAAAAAGACACACCACAAAAATAAAACCACCCACGAAATTGCAAAACAGTGACTTGGAAGAACTTCTGAGCCTTCCCAAAAGAGAATTCAAAATTGCAAAGATGAAAAAACTGACGAAAGTCATTAAGGAAAACAACACTCGGAAGAATGAAATTGAGTCCCTAAAGAGGGAAATTAAGGAAATGCAGGAGATTAAAGGATTAACAGAAGAGCTAAAGAACACTGGGAAAAGCAGTGATAACAGAATAGAGGAAATGGAAGAACGAATAAGCACTCTCAAAGACACGGAAATAAAAACAACCAAAACAGAAAATGAAAGACAAGTACGAATAAAAAAGACTGAAGAAAGACTTCGGGAACAGGCCTCCCCCGTGGCGCAGCGGTTGAGCGCTGGGCTGCGAAGCTGCCTGCAGCCTCTGCAGCGCCAGTTTGATCCCAGCTGCTCCCCGACCACTGCAGAAGGGTCCCACATGAAGCGCAGCCTGCCGCCCGCTGCTGCCCTCAGCAGTGTACTTCGGTGTTATACCTGCACTGCACCCAGCTCTGGCTCTGGTGAATTCTCTCACCCTCCCACACTTCTGACTGTACCCAGTGCTTATATAAAGAAATCTTAAAAAAAAAAAAAAAGGTTAAAAAAAAAAAAAAACGACTTCAGGAACTATCTGACTCAATGAGGAAAGGAAATATGAGTTATAGGCATCCCAGAAGGAGAGGAGAGAGACCTAGGAACAGAGAAAATATTCAAGGAAATAATTGAAGAGATCTTCCCAAACATGAAGAAGGAGCTGAAAATAGACATACAAGAAGCAAGAAGAACACCAACTTTCCATGATGAAAGGAAAAATACAGCAAGACACATAATAGTAAAGCTCCCAAGAATCCAAGACAAGTTAAAAATAATGAAGCTGACAAGAGGGAAGAAAGAAATAACATACAAAGAAAAAACAATCAGGCTGACATCAGACTTCTCCAAAGAAACACTACAGGCAAGGAGAGAGTGGAGGGACATAGTCAATAGACTCCAAGAAAACAGATGCCAACCAAGAATACTCTATCCTGCAAAGCTTTCCTTCCTCTAGGAAGAAAGAATAAGGACCTTCCCAGACAAACAGAAACTCTGGAATTTCATTATGACTAAGCCCCTATTCCAAAAAAAAAACTACAAGGAGTCCTAAAGCCAGAACCAACAGAGGGATGAATAACAGCGAAACAAGGCCAAAAAAAAAAGTTATTAAAACAATAAACAAACGCAGAGAAAAGACAAACACAATGGCAAATACAGGCGCTAACATATCAATATTAACTCTAAATGTAAGTGGACTAAACTCTTCAATAAAAAGACACAGAGTCACAGGCCAGATTAAGAAACAAAC